AGATTCGGGGCAAGCGGCGGCCGAGAGAAAGGGGTACGGCAATCTGGAGAAAGTCGAGCCGGGGAGACGAGGGGCAGAGAAGGCCAAAATGGCGATGGGTTACGGTGATGGCGACAATGAGGAGGAGAATAGAAAGGAAAAGGAAGAAAAGACACCTGAACAAGGAGAAACAACGAGACGATGAGATGAGATGGTGAAGAAGTCAATCTGTTGTTCAGAAAGTGAGGTGAGGTGATTGAGAAACCTCAAGAGCCCAGGTGGGTACGTAACTCGTGTTATCCACACGCTAATAATGCATGGGATGGTCCTAGTCGGACTTGCAGAAAAGGGACCCCGTGGTGCAGAAGCTCACTACATATGTACAGTGGACTGCCAAAGTTTGTTTTCTACAGGGCACAGACAGCAGTGAGGTCCCTATAATTTAGCGGTCCAAGACCCAAATTCCGGGTACACTCCCACCCCAACGCGGCCCATCGTGGGAGTGATCTCGGACATGCAACCCTTTCGACATGAACGTGACAGCAGTGTGGTTGCAATCTAACGCCTATTCAGAAAATAGCCTCGAATGAGGATGGATCGCTAGGGAGGAAGAGGCAAGCGACAGCCGCGATTCATCTATCTCACTCAAACATCCATCGTCTCTTGGGTCTTGTTCAGCTTGATCACGACAATGATAACACAACCTCACGCGTTCAAAGACAGCGTATCAGGCTGGTAACCGTTCCGTAGTCCTGGAGATACATAAAGTATTGTCAGCATGCAGGGGACAAGGGGCAAGACGTCGTAAGCCAATTCTCTCCGTCCGTCTGGTCTGGTCTGGTCTGGTTGCTGTTGGCATCTCGAGATGGTCGATATTCACACAGGCCTCTCATGCACCCGCACTCGTCCTAAACACGAGGTGCTCGTGGAGCCATCCCAGGGATTCCCCAAGTGAAAATCCCACAACTCCCAGGAGACTTGAGCGGGTCTTGTCAATGCCAGAAGGGCCAGTACGTCCACCATTGGTCACCGCCGCACGGAGCTAGCAGGGAGCCTGGTTCGGTAGAGTGACCACGTCGAGAGTCTCTCATCTCTCCCTCTGTTTCTGTTGTGCTTTCTAGGCTGTCGCGAGAGAGGCAGAGAGCATTGATCCAGGAACAAACTCCTGTCCGTGCTAGATTGATGGCTTTTGCCTGTGCTCTCTCTGCTGCATTGCCCAGTGACCAGCTGACGGGACCGGGAAGGGCTCAAACATTGGTGCTGTCTCTGTGCGAGGCTATTATGGGTGCTTGAGGTGAAGTCCCTGAATTTCTTTCCTTTCCGTCCCGTCGTCGCTTGTCCGCGGTCCTTTGTCTGTTGCCGTCTCAAACTAGAAGACCGAAACGGATTTCGGGGTCTTGAGAGAAGAAAAAAACCACCTCACAGCAGACAGCGACTACGGGATACATACTCAGGGGTATGAACATTTTCCGGCCGCTGCACAAAATACTTGCGTGTACAGTACAGTACAAGACATACATACACATCCATGAATTGGATCAAAGCAAGGGACATTCAGGGGATAAGCCTGGCTTAGTAACTGATCCACGTCAGACGTGCCAATCACCAATGAGCATCATAGACGTTGAGAGGATCAACATTGAGATACGATTGATTTTCACGCTTTAGCTCCTTTAGGGGTTCGCGCTTGTGTGTGTCTCGTCTGGAAAGGGTCATGGCTTTTTTCGGCTGTTTCTTTCAGGTTGTGACTTTTGAGCCAGACAATTGATAGCGGCTAACGTTAGATCGAGCCAAACAGTCTGGTATCGCTTGGCGTTGTGTTTAACATAACCAACAGCTCTTGAAGCTATTCTGGCGATATTAACAAATATGTAATCAATGTGACAATGACTCGCCGTTTCCAGGCAGGAAACAAATATCTCAACCTTCCAGTAAACAAACAAGACTACCCAGTCGAGATGTGTGTGAACCCACTCAGCTGCTGAATGAACTTCTTTTTAACTCGGTCATGTTTCTGCAACTCAACTCTTATTGTCCGCCCGGCAAGATACGAAAACACCAATTATCCCTTCAGCCGCAGCCATTCTTTTCAAGTACCCGCAGTTCTGGGATTCCTCTGGCATATGATCGAGGCCGTTGGGCTCGATGTCGGCAGAGAGAAGCGTCTCATGGCTTGCAGTCTGCAGTAGCTTCTGCAGGATGCGTGGGATCTGACACCAAACATCCGATAAGTCCAACTGGTCCAGCCAGTTCTTTCAACGGCCACGGCGGGACACTCAAAAAATAACCCCCATGGGCCGAAGACGCGAGTCCAGTGGATCTCGAAGCAGAAAAAAAGGCCAATCTCATGCATGATGAAATCGTAGACGAGCCCTCGACTTCTGATAGGAGGGGATTTGACAAGACATGTTTTACAAGACGACACCATCTTCTATCACTTTGACCCTGAGAGACATTCCTATGCTTGACTCTTGCTGCCATGGAGTCTCTTTCAGCTCACCACAATTGCTGACCCTTGCATATCATAGGTATTCTCCCCGGCCTTGGTTCTCCTGTTTCTGTATCATAACAACAGCTCATGCATGGTACTGGAATTTTCCATGACAGCATGATATGGCACTCCAGTCTCCTCGCCTCTTCCAAGTACACAAGAATAGTAGTTATCCGCGTATTTTTAGAATGGGTCCGCAGGTCGTCAATCGCGTACCCACTGAGGAACTTAATTGTGCGTGTATTTTTGCTTAATGGATGTGTATAGAATAGGTGCTAAACCAAGAAAGTCCCGTCAGAACTTGGAAAGATCAGGTTTCTAGCATGTTCATGTTGGTGCAGAAAGGGAATGAATACCGAAAGCACAAAACTTTAACAGAGAAACTATTACTGACGAGAAACCTGATCATGGACGGATTGTCCTCACCGACAAAACACCGTCACTTACATACCAGTCTTTGTCTGACTCAATTTACGGGTCTGGGGTAGGTAGAGAATGACAATGGAGGAGATATCCTGGACATTTCCAGGGTTGAAACAAGCCCGCAGGCTGGGGTCTCAATCTACGTTCTGAGACAGGCACATTAAATTCTGGTGATATTTTAGATTGCTTCATCATGCTCATTGCTGTATATTGAACCATGCTATAGAAACTGCGCCTCATGGAGCAGAAGCAAGTCATGCTATCTAGATCTCCATCGACCAGAGATAGAAAAGAACTGAGATGAACTCGAATCTCGGCTCTGCAACAGGCCAAATGTGTGTTGCTGAGGTCTTGGCTGCCGAGGTTGGTGTACACATCCCATTACAGCACTGCTTCACGCCTTATGAGCAGTTGCTTGTAAGAGAAACTGATCGTGGTCCCTAAAGTAGAGTTCGGACTATGTAAACATATTGCCCAGTTTGCCACTGTAACTAACTTGTAAGGTTCTTGCTCTGGCTGTCGCGGCTGTTTGCTTTTTAAACCAGCCTCAACTCAATTAACCATACAAGCAAACTCTCTAGACTCTCCCGCCTTTTCCGTTCAACAACCTTATGCCCCGTCTAGACCGACTAGATTCCAGGTTCGACCAACGATTTAGACAAGCACCTAGCTTGGCTATGTATCGCATTAATCTAAAACTCATTAAAGTGCTCGTCTCCTCATTCGGCGTCTCTAGCTCGATATACGCAATCCAATACACATGCACAGGCTAATATGCGAACCGTTCTTCGGTACTCCAAAGAAAAGCGAAACTGCTTGGGTAATGCAGATCAATCTCTCGTCATCCACGATTTAATTACTGGGCGCATGTAACAGCGTCTCAGCTCATGGGCCACAGCGGCCAACTGCGTTGAGATTGGGGCCGTTCCCCTATGTTCAGATAGATTACACAGGGATATGAATTCATTTCAGTTCAGGGCGAGTTGGATACATTCCAGGGGTCTCTGAAAACCTCCTAGCGTCGTTCGAATAGAGTAATTCCCGCAGCTAATTGCCGGAGAATGCTGTACATAGCCCACTGTCCCCGTGGGCTGGTAGGCCGCCATTGTCTATTCTTCAATTTCGGTGAAGTTGTCCTAACTGAGCTTTCTGAGAGGGAGACCGAGGATATGTTACAGATACATCAAGTGATCGACATTGACAAGAGAGATTGATTGAATGCAACACCACCGAGCCTCGGGCCAGCTTGTAAAGTGGTCCTGGTGGAATTCGATCAAAGTTTCTCCAGATTTTTGAACAAATCCATCCGTAACAGGCTGAATAGACTAGACGTCGATACTACATAATCCTCTCAAGGTAGCAGTACTGTGCGTGATCCGCGTTGTCAGATTTGCGAGAGGCGTGGTAGCTGTTCTGGGGCTGATTTCCATATGGAGGAATACATAGGTAGCGCTGAATCCCTTGTTTGTTGCCTTGAAACTCTACAATACTAGCACACACTGCCTCCGAACAATACTTACTGTACATACATACATCCATCCTTGATAACACAACATAGAAACCCCGCGAAGACAGATGCTCTCTAAAGGGCCGATCCGACAGCGCAAATCATCTCTCTTCCCCGCCAGTACAAGCATATTCATCACAATCCCCTCAACGTCGCCGGCCGCTTCGGGAAGTTAAACCGCTGGGGGTTCATGTCGATCTGATCCGACCCGATAGCGGCACAGATGATTAGTTAAGAACCGGCGGTGAGCCCTTGATTAACCTTGTCATGGTTGGTGTTCCCAGGAGCACTGGATGCCGCCTTTGCAGAACCAGGAAGGTCAAATGTGATACCCTCAAGCCGTCCTGCGGCAACTGCATCAAATATGGAGCAGAGTGTCCAGGTTATTCTCGTGGCCTGAAGTTTGTCGATGAGAAGCATCAGATTCGTCAACGCGGCAGACGACAGGGCAAAAGCCAAGAAGTGTCGACTACTGATAGTTCCGCTTCCAGTACAACGGGCTCTGATATCGCTGCATTAGACTCAGAATCATGGTCTTTGGTAAGGCCCTCGCCAACCCTGCTGAGGCTGGAGTTGCCAAGAGGGCCACTGCTACTCAACATGATAGAGTCGTCCACTAACTACACTCGGTCTACTGATGTCTTTATACTCTTATCATGGTTGAACATTGATCGTCTAGGAAAGCGGGCTCTGCTCGACGGGGCTATCTGTTCTTTTGCTCTCCATCTGACTGGCAAAGCAAACTCCAATGCCGACCTGGTCGCCAAAAGCAGAACCATATATGGCTTGGCACTCAATGAGTTACAGGCCGCTCTGCAACACTCCACAGAGTGGAAGGCATCTGAGACCCTATGCGCTGCTATACTATTATGCTACTTCGAGGTATTCCTGCCACCAATATTCTTTATTCAAAGCTTACGCCCCATAGCTGTTTGCTGGGACAGCAGTCCCAGATACTTGGATTCAACATGCCAAAGGCATTGGAACTCTAATGGAGCAGCGAGGACCAGCAGCTCACGCTGAAGGCTGGGACGCAGCCATGCTGCTCTCATGCCGTGGTATTCTTGTATGTCCCACGTTTCTCCTTGACTACATGAACAAGGCAAAGGATAAGGAACTCGCATTATCTCCAGGTCAAGTGACGTGACGGAGCCTTGCGAATGTCTTCCAGTAAGAACCAATCGCTGTTTGGGGAGCACAATGCGTTGGATTCTGTCTCTGTTTCGTCACCGGCAGGGTTACTCTGCATTGCTGCATTGAGATGGCGCGATATAGCATCTCACATATCACCCATCCAGTCCAAGTGGACTTGTCATCCTAGCCCTTCACCTTGGGTGGACCTTTCGTCCCTTTGCAACGGCCTTGACAATGTTACCCTAGCGGGGTCACCACTAACACGGTCCCATGCCAGACTATAAGCGATATGTTCTATCCCGGAAAGGACCAATTGTTCCTGTCGAGGCCAGCATGGAGGCATGTCACGTCTGATGGCGGTAGGCGTCTCATCTATCCTCCTGACGCCCCCATTGAGCACATCCGCGTCGGTGATGGCTTCCTTGCAAACCTGGCCCAGCTCACGCCTATTTTGCATGGGGCTTATCTTCTGAGAGAAGCTAACAAGGCTGGCATGTTTGTCGAGCCTGACAAAATCTCCGCCTTGGCCCACCTAGCCACCGTGGAACATGCGAGATTGGCGCGATGGTTCGACGATTTCGACGCGCTTGAGTTTCCAAGACCGGTCGAGGTTCTGCCAACCGACCCGGATAATTCGTTGTTCGAGACAGTGCTGGAGCACAAGTCGGCAGCAGCCGGGTCCTTACTCATGGGCTACTGGGCAAGTATGCTCATCCTAGAAGAGACATTGGTCGAATGCGGGACACCGCGAGCTGATTCGGAGATATCCATCCGGTACTTTGTGGAACAGATATTGCGGTCGGTAGAATCTGTGGGACGAGACACCATGGGGCCATATCGAATTGGGTTCGCCATACGGATCGTGTATGAATTCGCTACCGGGCAAGAACAGAGGTGGATTGCCAGCATGTTGGATAAGTTCTCACAAGGGTATGCTGCGATTGACAAGAAGACATACCCTAAGCCTAAGGACGATGACACTCAGCCAACACGGTTTGTCCAGTCTACAGCTTAGGGTAGATGGTGACCTGGAGGATCCCCAAGATGATGCTTGATGTTGTAGGTAGATGCTATTTATTAGTTTCCTGAGAAGTTTCCCACAAGTCAATCGATATCCAAGCCTTTACAAATCTTTACACCAGTGCTGAATCTATTGATCGAGGTCGACAAGTGCGTTCTTCCCTTTCAACTAATTGGCGACAGATAGCCAGTCCTCTAATACCATTTATGTAAAAATCTTGAATGCCACAAGTATTCATCTTGATTAGTTACCTGGAACGATGCAGCTGGAAGTTATCTTCTTTGATAAGGTCATTGAGACTTGACAGTTTGCTCAAATAACATATTCTGACTTACACTTCTGTAGCTGTTACTGGAGTGACTGAATCCCAATTCCTGATTGCCACTAATCTAAACAAGACACGTAACGGTTGTCTTGTATCAATATATGATAGGAGCTCACTATGGTGAGTTTGAAGCTTGAACATGACTATGTCGAGACTCTGTCAGTTGTATACGAAACTCGGTGGGAAAGCGTTAAAAGTCAGTAGAGGTTTTGATGGTCTGCAGTGACCTTTATTCGATGAAAGATGTCTCAATTGGTTGACAAATATGACTCGAGAGTGCTAACTTGAGGAATACATGGCTCCCTTGAGGTCACTCACACTCATTTACTAAGCTGAATCGCTCTGTTATGAGGGTCAGATCTCCTGAGAAGAAATACTCATATACAGGAAGCTTATGAGTGATGTTGCCTAACCGTAAACACAGTTTGGTCTGGGTTGAGGTTCTGCATAGAGAGAAGTTACGAGCGATGGCTCAGGAAGAACCAGTACATTTTCCCCATCAGCGTGTACAGCAATGGATTGTATAACCCTAGGGGACTGACCCAGATCCGTGGTGAGGGTATTGTACCTCGAATACTTGATCAGGTTTGTACGAGTGATGAATAAACAGCGTAGCAAGTAGTACAAACTTGCCGTCCAATATCAATCAGTAGCCACTGCTTTTCATAGGAACTCTACTAGCCATAGCAAGTGACAGATACGGTATCATGGGAGTTTCAATATCATAGTGAGGCTTTTTTTGAAATGAATAACCATGGGTAGTTGAAGTCAATCCTATTACGAGTTGTGTTCTTTACGAGTGTACTCCTGTCATTCATCAAAAGTCTTGCCACCTCAACAAAACCGCTATCAGTTGGACCTAGAAAGAAACGAACTATGCTTGAAACAAAATGACAGCAAGTTTTAAGCTTGTAATTCCAGGAATTAAAGGTCTTCCTTTTGGAACAAGCCGCCAATGTCAAAAGGTCGCTTGACTTCAGCAATACAAATTGTCAGAACCTATAATTGAATACATTTTGACTGTTCATGCTATTGACAACACTATGGTAGTATCTCTGTGCCAAATGTCCGATGAACATGAATTTTCACATGGTGTATTCACATGTCACACTGCTTCTGGTCAATACGTGCGAATTATACCACAACGTCGCATCGATTGCACAGTCAATCACATGTAAATCGATACGAACACTTGTAGATAGGTAGAAAATTATATTCGCCTGCAAAAGGGTATTCTTATCCGCCCCCGACGACATCCTCCTCAGGCGGTCTGCATCAGGATACGGTCTCCTTTCTCAAGATGCAGGTTTAGGTCCACTTCCGGAGCGTTGTGTAACGACGGGCTCAAAAGGTAAGCAGCTAGAGTAGCCAATAATAAAGCTTATCAGCTCTGTCATATATCGATTCGAACACTGTTTGCCCATTCACTTTAAGCAACTTAGAAATGGATGTCAATTGGATCGCTCACTGGTTCGATGTCTGGCTTCCTCACAGGGTTACGAGGAAATACCCGGAGAGATATAGACTGGGTACCTTTATCATGGCGAGTCTTGCGTTGCACAGTAGCTGATACTTACTGGAATGATATGCGTTTTGATGAATATCAAGACACTGAGTGGTTCAGCCGGGAGAGCTCGCCAGAGCGGTTCCAACGCCAGTCACACATTAAGGTAAAGTATGTGATTAGTTTAGTCAAAAGGTCCATACCTGGCGGTGACTCCTTGTTCATAGCTCGCATCACTCATAAGTTTCATTCTAGATCTAGCAAGATATCTCCACTCACCTAGTTCGAGCAAAGAAACCACAACACACTCGCATCCATTGGCAAGGATAGTACCATACTGATCCAATGACAAAACCTCATAGCAACAATTGTGATGCTTACCTGACGGAAGTTCCCTTCGGTGCTACTTAGATGAGGCCTGCTCATCTCTTCAATGAAGAGACAACTGGCTACTCCACTGAATGACAAAGAGAAAAGAAAATCGTACCACAAAAGGACCAAGATTAAACTAGATGGGCCATAATAATATCCACCTCTCACCACGTTCCGAAGATCTGAGACTCCCGGTACGCAAAATAGGGCTGATATAGGCAGGTACAAAGTCGGGATGGATCATGGGCCGAAACCTTGATCTCAAAATTGCCGTGAATACTCCAAAAGGCAAAAAGTTGTCAATAAGAGACGAGAGCCAAGGATAGAGCGGCATCTTAGTTCCAAAGAAGATGTTGCCAAGATGACGACCGCTTCTTGGTCGAGACTGATGAGAGTTTCTTTAGCTACCTGACCTTTGAAGCAGATGCTACCATTGTGAGATGCAACCTATCGACGTAATTGACGGCGTGGCCGTTAGAGCAAACGATGCAACGGTCTAAGAGCTCATCACTGCTCGGTCCCTTGGAGAAGAGTCATCGCAGGTTCTAGAACCCTGTCAACTAAAAGGCACCAACCTGATAAAGCAAGGTCAATCGGGTCAGAACCTCCTCGCTGGAAAGTGCCGTTTGACACTTGCAACTGTGGCTTTCAGCTCAAGGCCACATCGTCATCCCTTGCCATAGTTTCACTAAAAATAAGAGCTTGGGTTTATGTGGCTGCAGCTGGTCAGTCTGCCCTACGCTCTAGACCGTGTCTTTTGTTTAAGGTTCTCAGTAGTGGAAAACGCCGCGATGCAACGTTCCTACACTATCTCTCGGTTAGAGAGAGTTCTCGCATAGCTATTTTGAGTGCCTAGACTCTTGATTGCTTGTTGCGTACCGACACAAAGGTTCGTAGGATAATTGAGTTTATTTGGCGAAATCGAGCTTGGGGTAAGCCACTTTTGACTATAGTAAGGCTGACTGACATCAGGTGAAGTTGCCAACAGCTGCTGCGTACGTGTGCAACCAAACCAGCCAATGTGCAGATCTGAATCAGTTGCTTACACGATTAAGCATCTGACATGGAACCCTCAAATGCTTGCTATGACAATCTACCCCAAAAGCCATCAGGCAGCAAAATAATGCATACGCTAAAAATGCCAATCTTCAATTGACCAACGAGATCCCAGGCCGCGTATCTCATGATAATTCCCCATGACTTCACCAAGCCAGAATGAGGTTGCATCGGAGATATGAGAAGCCCCCCGCCAAGCAATAGTTTGTTCTCTTGGCCCAAGGCTGAGAGAACGCCCGGGTTCGGTGTGACAGACCTTGATCTTATCTCGACATTATCTGATACGGATGGGCGAATCATTACCCAGACCGTCAATCTTACATGCATAGAACTCCTTCTAGCGAGCTTCTGGAAATGGAGTTTTGGTGGGGACGTGGTCACGAGGTTGTTGTTTTCTCTCTTGGCGGGAAGGATAAACGGTGCCGATGCTTCGGTGCTTCCGACTATGGGGAAACCGGTCTCCACCCGGCGGATGACGGTCCGGGGTTATGTCAGCATCTCGGCCGACCAGTGCCGTCTGTAGGCTCCACATGTTGTCACTGGAATTCCGCTGGATGGGAAGTGAGGGGAGAAGAGATAAGGGGAACCAAGGGATGGGCTATATGGGCAAATGTAAGGGACCAGGCGCCTGGCTACGGTTGAGCTATTTACTGCTCATCACAATAAATGCCGAATAATTGTATCACGGCAGTGTCTGACTCCCTTATCATACGACTTTCCGATTGACCCTATCGTAATATTTACCGTATCACTCGTACTCAGCACTGACTCCTTGTTGACACCTGAATGGCTACCTGCACGGCGATCAATGTCAAAGGTGAGCCACAAGGTCGCATCGTATCTTCAATTGGACCCCGCGGAATCCATAAGCTATCCAAGCCGGCACGTCATACCCAAGAACAGCCAAGCTAGCCAAGCCTTCGTCTGACTACAGGCATTTTTAGCGTCGCTCCATAGGGCGGCATCTGCTACGTAGCAACTAGGGTTGGCGTGGTCTTCGAGTCTTGGTACAGCTTGGGGTAGATCAGCCGCAGAAGCATTGTTGACAAGAACTTTTATTTAAGGGAGTCTTTCCCCCCTTGATGATTCTATCTTATCCTCATCATCATCAATCAGTTCCTTCATAAACAAACAAACTCTCCTTGAACATCTTTTAGATTGCACCAGGAGTGCCTTGAACATAACTACAGTACCTTGAAGGTTAATAGACGATACATCTACGATACACATACCCAGCAGACTTAAGACAGTCAAGCAATTACTTCAACTATACACCACATACAACTCTTCAACTTTACAAACATCGCAATGGCTTTCGGATCTTCTCGCACCAGAACCTCTTCTGAGGAGCAGCGTGGACGAAGCACTGAGCCAATTCCCCTCATGGAGTCTAAGGTATGTGACACTGAACTCAGACTTAGCCTGGCCCCACTAACAAAGCTATTTCAGCAACGAACAAACTCATACTCCAGCGAGTTCTCGACCCAGTCTACGGCATCTTCCACTACCAAAGCTTCCCGCTCTTGGTTCAAGGCTGCCCCCCAGCCAGTCAACAATGTCACCTACTGTGGCCGCCATTCAAGCCAGTTCCTCTTTGGCGGCCCTTCTCTGGCTGATCTCGCCCGGGCGATGTTGGGCAAGGATTGAAGTGTCAGCTGTACGAGCACATACGAACAAGAACAAAGAAACCCTGCTCTGTCTGCAGCATCACCAGCACTATAGCATGATCGCCTAATC